CTTACCGCTCCGCCTTAATCTTCCTTAGGTTTTGTGTTGGGTTTTTTTTTATTCAGACTCAGTGAAAACACTCTTCTAATAGCCCCATGTCGTGGCCTTTTGTACTGTCCTACAGAGTGTTTGTTAATAAACTGCTGGAGAAGCTCCTGCTTATTTATCACAGCGACAGAGATCATTAAGCAGCTGTAATACTCTCTCTGCTTTTTGTAGCGACCTTTCAGACAAAAAGCATTTAAATCTCCCCTCCCCTGGCCGATGCTGCTCTTATCTTTGCTACAGATTTTCGGGGCAGATAATTTCCTTCTTTTCCTTGCTGATTCCATGACAGGAGCTGTTTCATTTATGTAAATTGACTGACTGCTCTCTAAAGGAAAATGACGGTGAAATATTTTTAGAAGCCTTTTTCTTCGTGCGAAATAAAAGCTGAAGGTCACAGATTTTTTTTTTTTTTTTTTTTAATCTCCGTAACTTTGCATCCCCAGCTGCGAGGACTCCTGCATGCCTTTTGTAGGGCTGCGAACCTTTTGGTCAGCAGTTCTGCCAAGCAGTGTAGGAAGGAGAGAGGATTTTGATTCAATTGCAGCTTGACCCAGGAGTTCACACAGCCCTGGATGCCTTTGCACCTTTAATTCAATTATGGCACAGGCTGTTTCTTAATATAGCCGCTGCGTACGAGTCATCGGGAACTTGAGCTCAGCGCAGAAAGCTGATGTGAAATGACTGTATTGCTTGTTCTCTTTATGCTTTTTGCCACAGTATTATAGTGACAAATGATGATAACTTTTCCTTGGGAAGCCTTGACACGGTGAGACTTACACCACCCACATGATTTTATGTTTTATCTCCAACAAAATTACTGTAGAAGCTTATTAAGTTTCTGCTCAGAGATAATGATATATTAGGCAAAGTTCAAAGATAAACGGCCTTCTGTTTAAAGGATGTACAGAAGAACATTTTAAAATTATCTTTATAATATTTTTTAAAGTTTTTTAGTGTAGTGTCTTACAGGGTTGCGCTCGTGAGGACAGGCAGACACGCAGTGCCAGATCATATTGTTTTCTTTCCAAGCCTTGTGTTGTGATGAAAAACCAGAAGGATCATCAGGGTCAGTTAGAGTTTCGTACACTCCCAGGAAATCTCTAGAAAACAACCAACAGCGAACACCTTGCACCTCCATCCCATTCTCCATGCGCTTTCCATGGTGGTGTATGAGCAGCTACGATCCTATCCCATCCAGTTTTCTTTCTACGCCTACTAAGAAAAACAAAGTAGAGAATTTTATTTTTTTTTTTTTTTCTTAAGAGAGAAGAACTACATTAGCTGCTGGAGGGTTTGTCACTGGTTTCCATAGTGCTCTCTCTATATGTGTAAATGTGACTTTGTACCCACAGATCACTTAGAAATGAACTTTTATTAGCAACAACGCACTAGCAAGAGCACACACCTTGAAAGGCTTTACTGAAACTAATAACAGAAGCAGTAGTACTCATGTCAGGACTGAGACAACCTCTAATTCCTCTTCCCTTAAATTTAATGACACTCTAACCGTTTGAGGAACCACCATTTCATTGCAATTAGAAAAGGGAAGACAGAAAGGTGGAGAACACATCGGCAGGATTTTTTAAGTGCTATGCAAATGTAGAAGGAGTTTTTTTGGACCCTAGGAATTTGCAGTCTTAGATGTTGAGTGTTTTGAATGAGAAAGGCTGTATCATACTCAAAAATACAAAGTCTGTGTAACTGTAAATAAAATCTAGAGAGCAGCGCTGTCTAATATGTAATTGTGTTGTTCGTATTGACAAAAAAAACCAAAGGTGGTGGAAGTTGAGGGAAAATATTGCGATCCAAACTATGCTGTTGAGGAGCTTCAGCTGATGCTTAGACTTCCCTGGGAAGACAGCAGAGACATCAACCCCAGGTTCAGGTCAGAAAAACTAGTCCAGAGCTGAGAGAAAGACAAATCATTTCAATCTAGGGATTGCAGTTGAATTGGTGGTATAAATCTATCCAAACAAAGGTTGCAAGGGAGGAAGAAAAGAAGGACTAAGGAAAAGTCTTAAATGTACACAAAATTTGGACATTTTCATTTTGTAATTGCTTCCAGCAGATAAAGGTATGTGAAACTTTTGCACACAAGCCCCTTACAGCCTGGAACCTGTTGTTGAAGCAAACAGAGCCTGAAATTCAGAAATTTTGTCTGGCAAAGGCAGAGGTTGCTCTGTGTTTCCTCCCTCCGCACAGAAGCAGTGTTACTCGGGGCACTCCGCTGCGAGCTATCACACAGGCTATTTTGAGAAATCCCAGATTTATAGGAGAAATGTTTTCAAGAAGACATGAAATTTTGCTAATGGCAGCATAAAGTAACATAATGCTACGACTCAGTTTACAGGATACCTTTACTAGTCAATATTAATTGTTGACAGTATTGATAGAAGTTATAGCCTTTAGCTGAAGTCAATATGGAGCTTTATGAACCTGCCATCAATAGAAGATTTTATGGGGCCCATTAAAGCAACTTTTCCAATGAAGGTTAACGTCAGCAATTTTTATGCTCTTCATTATTTATCCAAAATAAATAATCAGAATTTACTTCTGATGTTTATAAATCCAGAGCTGTCGAAGCACGATTCTACTGAGACATTTATTGTGTTCTTAGAAAATGAGAGGTCTGGCTCCCTTGAAAAGCAGGTTTGCTTTTATTTCAGGAGTGGTGATGCCTTGAAGGAACAGATATGCTGCTCAGCAAGTGCAGCCACAATCCACCCCTCTGTCTTTAAGGAAACCAATGAAGTGCTCTGATTCCATGGCATATTACAGTCCATAAATCACTTGCACAGGCAGCTGGCATGAAAAGTCAGGCATTGCTTTATCTAAACTGTTCCCAGGCTTTCCAGGAGGTTGAATACTGGTACTAGGTTAAGAGTTTGTTTTCACTGAAGAGTTAGCTTGGGTTATAACTCTTGTCATTGCTCTGAGCTCAGATCCTGCACACCCAAAGAGCCCCATTGGCTTCCCTTCCGTTGGGCAGTCCTTTTTTGCTTGACTTGGACAGTCACTTTGCAGAGTAAGGAGATAGAGGGGACAGCTCAAGTTACTGCGTCTTGTTTGGGGATAACACAATCACTCTGTGCTGCCAATGTAGAGGGCACTTTGTATAGCTCAAGGATTATTCTGCAGCTTGATCATCTAGGCTAAGCTGAAATTGCGAGCTCCCATTAACTGTTCAGACCCATGCACAGGGAGGAGTTTGGTTCCTGGAAGCCTAGCAATGAAGTTAGGAGAACCTCTCTCCTCTACTAGTTCGCATTGTTTCTCAGCAAGACTGATTCAAGCAAAAGAAGTTCCTGAAGTAGTCATTTGGATCTGAGCCTGGAGTTAACTGGCATTACCTTAGGTAACCCTGAACAGGCTTTGTACGGAGCCAGAAATTGTTTAATATAGAGAGGAGAGCAATGAAGGAAAACAAGGTAATAGTCTTCCAGAAATTGACTTATTTTGCAGCAATTCACTCACATACTAAAAGCAAAATACTTCTAATCATAAAGACATCATCATAAAAAATACAGTACCACAGAATAATTTATGCTGGAAGGCATCGCTGAAGGTCTCTGGTCCAGTCTCCTGCTTAAAGCAGGGCTGACTTTGAGGTCAGATTGGGTTCCTCAAGGCCTCGTTCAGTTACACTTTGAGTATCTCCCACGATGAAGAGGCCACAACCTCTATGTCCTGGTTCTGGTGCTGACCACACTTGTTGTGAGCAACTCTTTTCCTAAAAGCTAGTCAGAATTTCCACTGCCACAACTCATGTCCACTGCCTGTCGTCCACTCACTGAGTATCTCCAAGAACAGACTGACTCCATCTTCTGTACATCCCCAGACCTAAAACAGTTAAAAGACAACAGATAGATCTTCCTTTAGCCCTCTCTTCTATTAGCTGAACAAGGCCACCTAGATCCTCCTCTCTTTGTAAATGGTTTGTAGGCAGTTAGGCACTGGAAGAGATGGTCAGCTGAGTCTGAGGAACTCCAGTGCTAAAAGTTTTTAAGTGTAAACTAGACAAAGAGCTGCTGAGAATGGTCTAGACTGGATCCTACCTCAGTCAGAGTGGCTGAACTTGCCAGTCTCTTGAGTCTCCCTCTTTCTTCAGTTTCAATAGTTTGTAACATTGCTGAGCTTTCTTGGACTTCAGAGCCATGCAGGACTGTTCAGACTGAGCTTTGAGCACCTCAGGCTTTTGTACTACCTAAAGCTCTCCCAACAGATGTGGAGATGGACAGTGTTTGTGTATAAGCACCCATGAAATAGGCTCTGAATATTGCATTTGGGTCTGTAAGTGAGATCTTACCCCAAATCGACCCAAACTGTTGTGAGTCATACTGGAACTCCCCGAATAGATCTGAACATGAGAGATGGACAGAAGATGTAGACACTTACATATAGAATCCCTTCTCACAAAAAAAAAAAAAAACAAACACTTTCTTTCTCTGCCTTCAATGTGATAAAGAGTTTACTAGTTTATTCAGTGCAATCACTGCAGGATTACTTTACACCTGCACCAACTGCATTTTTAAAATTTGTTTTTATGAAAGTGGAGTTCCAGTTCTTTTCTAAAAAAAAATAAATAAGTACAGTTTAAGTCTCAGCCCTTCCAAAGAAGTTGAGACAAACTAAGGATTCACTTTAGTTTTAATGCGGGCTTAGTGTTAACATCAACCAGGGTATGTAGTTGGTTAAACGTGAGAAGGAGCAGGAGAGAGGGGGAGCAGTTTTCTTCGTTAGCAGGACAAATCAGCAGTGATTAACGCTGTGTACATGTGCAGAGCAGAGCTGATGTTTCTTTCCATTGTCATCTCCTCTTGAGAATAATGTGGGCAGTATCAAGAGGCCAGAAGGATCTCACAGGCAGGAGGAGTAACATCAGATGGCTTGAGATAGTCCAGCCGAGCTGGAGATGCTCAGTTGTGATATATTGTGTGAAGAAATTCTTGCAGCGGAAGTGTTGCTGAAGTGTGGCGTTTTCTTATCTAGCAGACTCAGAGATGAGTAGACATGAACTAACATTCCAGATCTAACCACCCTGGAAGCCCAAATTCAGGCTGCAGGGCCATTGCTGTCAAATTGCGCTGTGCTGCTTCTTTCCATCCTCACAATTCAAAACCACGATGGAAACATGCCATCCTGCAAACAATTCTGCATGAGTTTCACGTGTGCAAAAGGGGTGAAAACGGCACTGCGGGACTCAAATCTCCCGTTTAGTGATAAAGTGAACACAGGTACGATCTGCCCCAACACTTCCACCACGCATCTGTTGGTCCTCTCTGTTTAGGAAAAGCAGTTTAATCTCGAGGTTCATTTGTCTTTGGCTGCACCTCTGAAATCACCAGTCAGTGCCAAAAGTGGTGTGGTGACTACAGCAATACAGACACTTACTGGTGACAAGATGAAGAGCACCAATTCATTTTACTTTGCAGGACCCACATAGAATCATAGAATCATAGAATCGTTAGGGCTGGAAGGGACCTTCAAAGGTCATCTAGTCCAACCCCCCTGCAAGGAACAGGGATATCTCCAACTAGATCAGGTTGCTCAGGGCCTCATCCAACCGGGCCTTGAACGTCTCCAGGGATGGAGCATCCACCACCTCTCTGGGCAACCTGTTCCAGTGTTCTACAACTCTCATGGTAAAAAATTTTTTCCTAATATCCAACCTGAATCTACCTCCCTCTATTTTAAAACCATTACCCCTTGTCCTATCACAACTGGCCCTCCTGAACAGCCTCTCCCCATCTTTCTTGTAGGCCCCCTTGAGGTACTGGAAGACCGCTATAAGGTCACCCCGGAGCCTCCTCTTCTCCAGGCTGAACAGCCCCAACTCTTTCAGCCTGTCCTCATAGGAAAGGTGCTCCAGCCCTCTTATCATCTTCGTGGCCCTCCTCTGGACCCTCTCCAACTGGTCCATGTCCTTCTTATGTTGGGGACTCCAGAACTGGACGCAATACTCCAAGTGAGGTCTCACGAGGGCACATCCTACAGAGAGGAATAATTTTTCTTTTAGTCACTACTGTTCTGGGATGCATTTAAATGAGCTTCAAAACTGTCAAGCAAACAACCAACCTGGTATCCAAACGTGCTCCCCAAGCCTTACCAGCTTGACCAGAAAGGTAGTGGATATGTTACGGTTGATTTTTGCGTTCCCATCGAATAAATTGCCTTTCTGACTTCTGTAAAACCAAAGCCTACTGGCAATCAGGAGCTGGAAAGCTCACCCGATAGCTCTGCCTGCTCTACCATCACAGACCCAACTCTTAGCCATTTTAATTGACATAATACATGATTGAAAGAGCATTTCTTGCAGTAACTGCCACATTCTGCTCCCGCACTGCTGAAGCCATTACTGCTGCTGGAAGGAGTGCTTAAGAAACTGCATAGGTAATTAGGGCTCGATAGGATTGAACGCTCATAGAAGATATTTAGAAACACAGGGGTACATTGCAGCAGGACATAATTGAAGACAAGTCTTTCAAACAAGGAGCATCGAAGAAACGGTATCATTTCATTTCTCCTGGGTAGTTCAGAAATCCGACTAACGTCGTCACTTATTCAGCGGTGTCTGACACAGACCTCCCTGAAGCCTTCGAATACTCCCGTTGCCATCAGCAGTGTTAGATCAGGTCCTGGGTGTATGGTGGGAACCAGCTGGTTTTGCAAAACAGTCAAGAGTGCCAGCGTGGTATAAATGCCCGGACTCCTGGTGAAACACACCGCAGCACGCCGTTCGGTGCTACGTTTCTTGTATCTGTTTTGACTTCTTATTAAATCAGAAAGCTGTCCCCATGATCAAGCCACATGCTCCGGAATTTCATCAGCTTCTTTCAAATATTCTCTCTTCAGAGACGTTTTACAATAGCTAGGGGACCTGTAGGCAAATGGTAATCATTTCTGTGTGTTTTTCTTGTTCACGTTGGCTGTTGAGGGCTCATCTCCTAGAGTTGTCTATACGTGCTTCCAGGAGCCTTGCAAGGTTCTCTTACATAGCTCTAAACCTCTGCAGAGGAAGGAATTTTGCTCAGTCTTCTTTACATTCACCTTCCGGTTTCCCAAATCATGTTGACCCAAATCACTGGCCCAAAATACCATTCGATATATCAGTGCAATTAGCAGTGCCAGAATTAGTGTGTAATCTTAGCATTACAAATTATTTTTTAATACCCTACTTGATAATCCACGGTGACTTTTCTTTTTATTACCATGTTTTGCTGAGTAATTTCCTTTCAAGGCTTCATACGCTCTATTGTTAATATTGTTACCGTGGTTGCAAAAACATAATCTTTTTTTTTTTTTCTCCTTTGAATTAAATAGTGCATTATAAAGTACTTCCAGTAAATGAGTGTGTGCTTCAGACATGCTTCTTCTGCAAACTGTGTAGGCAAAAATGTGATACTCAGACTCTAGAGAATTCAGAAAGGAGATTTAAAAAAAAAAACATACTTCACAATAAATAAAAAAAAGGAATGTGCTATGACCTATACGTTATTAAGTTTCCCTTATGCCTTTTGAGTAGGGGAAGATAAGAATAAATTAGAATTACCAGGTCAAGATCAGGCATCTGCTGGCTGTCATCTTTCACTTGCCTCCTATCAGTTGCAAGCTTAATATTAACAAGATGTTTCAGCTTGAAATAAAAATTAGCCAGTACCCTTACCGCTAAAGATCCATCACCAATTGCAGAAGTTAGTGAAGAATTACAAAAATGAGTAGCAGATCCAGAAGAGAATTTTCACTAATCCCCTTCCTTGTTTCAGCTCCTCAAAACTCTTACACCGCTCTTTTCCAGGTAGGATTTGCAAGAAATTCTCCATTTTAACAGTACATGGGTATTACTTGGAGATTGAAGTCTACTGAAGCTGCCTTACAGAGATATTCAGTGACGTGGTGATCACTTGAAATGTGAAGGTCAAGGGAAGGAATGTGCCTGCAGGCTCTCCAACTGTAAAGATACTAATATTCCTATGAAGAATATTAGTCCTAAAAAGGAGACTTTAGCTACATGACCATCCCAAATGCTACAATCTCCACTGAAAAATGGCTCCCTTGAAGGCTGTTACATCTTCCTTACTTGTGATCCAACGTTCTAACCACTGACGTTCTTGATAATGAATTCCTAATGCCTCATATTTTTTGTCCTCTTATCTCTTTTTGTCCTTTTTAGATATTAGCCCTGAGACACTTCTTGAAAGTGAAAAGGTGAGGCACCACCTCGCTTCTTCACAAGAGTCTCAGAGAAAATTTTACCTTGATGGAACAGTAAATTAATGTGGTTTAGGGCAACAGACCCTTAATCTCCCTCCACATTCAACCACTCCCCTGTCCACTGGTTGTTAAACAGTCTTTCCAATGAGGACACTAGTAGATGCCACTGTCTCTCAGGCAGGATTCAACACACCCCAGAGTCGATTGTTCCTCTGGTAGCACATAGACCACCCCAGGGACCACAGAGGGAGCCAGCAGCATCCATGCTCCCAGTTTAGAAGGTGAAGGTACACAGGATTAATTTGAGTTTAATAATTCAATTGCTGCATTAGTGATCAGTATCTTGATTTTGTTTCACGGTGAAGGAATTCCCACTGATTTCTGGGGCTAATCTATCTCATCACTGGCCTCTTTGCCTCTAGAGGAAAAGAAGTCTTTCCATTTTCTTGTTTTATTATTTTTATTCCCATATGGTATGTCCCACAGAGAATGTATTTTCTGTATCACCGTAAGCTGCGCCGACATTAAAACCCTTCGCAATGATATTCTGCTGTAATGAACTGCAGTTCAATATAGGTTAGTGTGTAGGTTCCACATTATTATTATTGTGATGATGGTGAAGCCATTAAGCAGGAAAAAAAGGCCCAAACTCTAGAAACTCATTAGTAACCTGAATATTGGGGGAGAGGGCATGTAGAAATAACATTAACAGGTAAGAATTTACTGATCTTTTCAATTATGCTGTTAATTTTTGTCTTTTTCTTTGCCACTTTAAACTGCCTCGTCACGGAGATTTTTATTTTTTTTTTTTTTTAAGGAAAATAATTGCGTTTGGCGCTGTGGCTGGCAAGCTGCCAAGTATTCTGGAAGTAAATCTGTGCATTTTTTACACTATTTCCGAGTGCTGTAAATAACTTCTTTGGTGTGAAATATCCTAGGGGGAATACTGATAGGTTCAACAGCAAAAGACCTATTGCTCTTTTAATAGCAATACTTTGCTTCCAGCCTGGTTTTAGGGTGGGATTTGCGAGCAATGCCAATGGGGAATGGCTAATGCTGTGGAATAAAGGTTATGGTCAGGACACCAAGGACCATCAGAGCTGGTGTGGACATCAGCGCTTGGGGTCACGATGGACCTGCAGCTCAATGGGCATTTGGAGAGGGATTTTGCTTTTAGGGCCAGACACAAGCTCCATCCTAAGCAAAGAATTGAGACCTCCTGGGACAGATGAAAGAGAAACAGTGTAGAGAAAAGAAAAGGATTATAAGGAATGATAAATCCAAACCAGGAAAGGGTGATGGCTTAAGTCTCAAAACAGTCTGATATCTATCTCTGCAGCCAAAGGATCGCTGCCCTGCAGAGTTAAGCCTGCTGGTTAAGCATGGACCAGGGAGACAGAGCTTGTTTTATCTTTGCCTTCTCTCCCTTTTCTGCTTCACTCTGGATGTTAGGGGTCACACCAGGCTGCAAGGTGTATGACATGTCAATACGCCATCCCAGCCCTTCAGAGAGGTACAGCACTATTTCCTGCACAGGAGAAAGGTGCACCAGGATTTCTCTCCAGTCTTGCATTTCCAGATGCTCACGTCTGTATTTCTGAATTCCCATTTGGACCACTGCATCTACTTCTAGATCCAGCACACACAGTGTTAGTCCACATCTGGCCCAGGCTCCTCCAGTGCCCCTCGAGATATCTGACTTTGCAAGATGCGTTTCCACCCATAAGCAGAACAAAGTGAAAGGAAAGGGCATGTTATTTTTGTTTTACCCATGCCCAGAGGTGTGCACTGAGCTCCAAATAAAGGAAAGCACAGCTTCTGCCATGAGAATTTGTTCATTAAAATCTCATTGCGTTATTTCTCAGAGGCTTTTGATTAACTTTTAGCAAAAATGCCATTTCATTCAATTCAGGGCAGTGATTGAAAATGCAGCACTGCCCTAATTCTGCAAAGTTTTCAGTGTTTCTTTTAACTGCCCTTAAAAACTTTAATTATATGCTCTAAGGCAGATTGTTGTTTTGTTTTGCCCGTCCCGGCACAGATCATTTTGAAACATGTATATAAGGAGAAAAGACTCTATTAATAATTCCTATCTGGTCTTCACATAGATTAAACATTTTACAAATGTAACTTTGTTATGTGCTGATCAAAAATGAGTTTTCGCCACACATCTCAATTACACAAAGACATCTGGGGAGCAGACATGTTACAGGACTCGGAGAAGGGCTGCTTTTGGATGGGCACTGGACTGCAGCTCAAGAGATTTTATCCATGGCTTTGCTACAGACAGTGCTTGACCTTGGCTGTACTACTTCATTTCTCTTTCCTTCTTTATCTCAGTTCCCTGTTACAAAATAAAAGTGTCACGTCTGGTTTTTCTCCACCCCCTTTTAAGTTGTGAACCCAAATATTTTCTAATCAAACATATGGATAGCAGCAAATGAAGCAACTAGACTCCAGTTCTATCCATTAATATATTTAGTGAATTTTCAGCACTGAAGTGTTTAAAATATTGGCTTAGGCAGTCCCTTAAACATGCACCGAGTATCTTGGGAGATGATAAACCCCTGCTTTTTGTTGTTGCTAGTGCTGTGTTTATTTATAAGCCTCGGAACTGGGTTGAGCGACGGTGAGATGGAGAGCATCAAACAAACCATGCAGCAAGAGCCATTGTACAAAAAGCTCTCCTGGAGATCGCAAGAGCTTCCTGGGTTCTCTAATGGTCTCAGGCACCCAGAGCACTTGCTGAAAACAGCATGAAAGGCTCCAAAATGTGTCATCCCTCCATTGCCACAGCACCCAGCCGATGGCTGTTTTCTTCCCTTGCAAGGCTCTCTGTAGGCGAGACCTTTCCATGCCGAGCAGCACGAACTGGCAGCCAGTGTTGCCTTCTTCTCGCTGCTGTATTTAATGACCTTCCAAAGTGCTACAGGGCTTCCACAACCAACTTCAGCGGTGGCAAACTCAGAAACAATCCACTTCATCAAAATGACAGCTTTCTGCCACATTCAGAAACATGCACTTTGGTTTCTGCCCTGGTTTGGTCACTTTGTAGTGAGGGAGATAGATAGAAACATTAGGTTTTTTAGCTTAATTAATTTAAATACTCATTTCTTCTCTTAATAGATAAAGTGTTTAAACAAAATGAGAAATTGTGGCAGGCTCAACTAAGGCTTAAATTCAGAATAATATGTTAAAGACTTGTAAATCATTCTTAGATCATTTTCAAGCAACTATGTCTTAACTGCCAACGTTTCAAAGAAAATCTAAGTAGTGAATTGGCTGCAGTGTCTGGGTAGGCACCTAAAGCCGGTCTGTGGAGGTGCCAGATCAGCTCCTGATGGCAACTGCCTCTTCTGCAGGTGGAAAAGGAGATTTTTTTTCCACATCAGGACATTCAAGTAGATCAGTTCAACGAGCACGTACAAAAGTCAGAAATCCACCAGCAGTTGAAAAGGAGGGGAGGGGAGAGTGTCCCTGCCCATGGCAGGGGGGTTGGAACTAGATGATCTTTGAGGTCCCTTCCAACCCAAACCATTCTACGATTCTATGATCTGCATAAATATAACCAGAGACAAGATGTATTATAGTGACTTCCCAGACACATTATATCTGGGGACATGACTGGTTTAAGAGGTCCCCAGTTGCCATCCTGGGTGCCCGTTACAGTGTTCTTGCAGGGATTCTCCATCCCCACGGTCATGCAGTCCAAATCCACCCAAAAAAGGTGTGATTTAAAGCTTTTCCTCAAGGACAGGGTGTCACGGTAGTGATTTCACAACTCCCATGGGACCGCTGCCATCCCACATGGAGAGATCGCTTCACCTCGAGGTAGAGCAGCAGAAATCTCACCCAACAGAAAGCCTGCCAAATCAGGTCAAATAAGGGCCAGTGGTTGAGGATGGGTTAGCAAAAATATCTGGAGTTATTTAAACCAGCATCTCCAGCAAAGAAGAAGCATTGCCAAGCTCTCTTGGAAACGCACCTCTGTTCCAGTTCCCCAGCGACAGCAAACGCTCCCTTTGTTAATGCCAACTCATTTTCTGCACAAGACTTATTCTCTTCTCGTATCTCCAGCAGGTTCAAGTACTTTTATTACACTCAGTTTGGGAGGAGGGGGGAAGTGAAATTATGACTGAATTCCAGTTTCCATTTAAATGCAGCTTGACGTGAATTCCGAATAAATGAAAAACAACAAAAAAAAATCCAGCAATCATCTACTGAATAAGAAATCTGTTGTTCACCATTTTCTCTTCATAAAAAATGTAAAAAGTAGGAATCTGAATAAATGCATGCTAAACTATATAATTGCTGAAATAAATATGTATAGATATAGGATATTCTTTGATTTAGCATAAAGAAGCAGCAAATTATACCAATCAGTGAGAATCAACCAGTTTTAAAAGAAAATAACTGAAAAGCACACATGCAAAACAAGATTAAAACTGATTATTTAAATCAAGATTCTCTGTTTGCTGGTTTAAACCATGATTACAATTTAAATCAAGCCACCCTGCCATGAATAGTTTAAGGACAATGATTTTTCCTTCTTATATAATGTGCAGATTTTATAGCCGACGGAGCCTCGTGCTGCTTGTAAGGAACGTGGATGTACTGAACTTTCATCTCCAGCCACATTCTTCATTTGGTTCTAGTTTGTTTTAGGTGTTTGAAACAGGCAAATGGCAATCCTTGTCTGAAAGAGTGGGAATCTGGAAACCCACAAAAAAATTTCCAAGATGCTTTTCCTTTTGGGAGCCTTCGCATGGAAATTAAATTGAGATTCAACTGCAACCCTGGGGCCAGGCTGAGATGCTCATTCCCCAGTAACATGGAGGCTGGAAAAACAGCCATAGTCCAATATTAGAATATTAAGGGAAATGTCTCTCTCTCTCCTAGGTACCACCTCTTTGGATAATTACATTCCACTTAACAAAATTCCCTTTGCACTTTCAGTTGGACGGGGTGTTTCTCCTCCATTAAATTGCTCTGTT